TTGTTGGATTCTGTTTGCTAGTATTTTGTTCAGGATTTTTGCATCTATATTCATCAGTGATATTGGTATATAATTTTCTTTTTCTGTAGTATCTTTGTCTGGTTTCCGTATCAGGGTGATGGTGGCCTCATAGAATGAATTTGGGAGTGTTCCTTCCTCCGCAATTTTTTGGAAGAGTTTGAGAAGGATGGGTGTTAGCTCTTTTCTAAATGTTTGATAGAATTCACCTGTGAAGCCATCTGGTTCTGGACTTTTGTTTGTTGGAAGATTTTTAATCACAGTTTCAATTTCATTACTTGTGATTGGGTTGTTCATAGTTTCTATTTCTTCCTGATTCAGTCTTGGAAGTTTATACCTCTCTAAGAATTTGTCCATGTCTTCCAGGTTCTCCATTTTATTGACCTAGAGTTGATTGTAGTGTTCTCTTAGGATGCTTTGTGTTTCTGCGGTGTCTGTTGTAACTTCTTTTTCACTTGTAATTTTATTGATTTGAGTCCTCTCCCTCTTTTTCTTGATGAGTCTGGCTAATGGATTATCAATATTGTTTATCTTCTCAAAGAACCAGCTTTGAGTTTTATTGATCTTTGCTATTGTTTTCTTTGCTCCTATTTCGTTTATTTCTGCTCTGATCTTTATGATTTCTTTCCTTCTGCTAACTTTGGGTATTGTTTGCTCTTCTTTCTCTAGTTCCTTTAGGTGTAAGGTTAGATTGTTTACTTGAGATTTTTCTTTTTTCTTGAGGTAGGCTCTTATAGCTATAAACTTCCCTCTTAGAACTGCTTTTGTCATATCCCATAGGTTTTGGATCATCGTGTTTTCATTGTCATTTGTCTCTAGGTATTTTTTGATTTCCTCTTTGATTTCTTCAGTGATTTCTTGGTTATTTAGTAACGTATTGTTTAGCCTCCATGTGCGTGTGTTTTTTTACACTTTTTTCCCTGTAATTCATTTCTAATCTCATAGCGTTGTGGTCAGAAAAGATGCTTGATATAATTTCAATTTTCTTAAATTTACTGAGGCTTGATTTATGACCCAAGATGTGATCTATCCTGGAGAATGTTCCATGTGCACTTGAGAAGAAAGTGTAATCTGCTGTTCTTGGGTGGAATGTCCTATAAATATCAATTAAATCTATCTGGTCTGTTCTATCATTTAAAGCTTCTGCTTTCTTATTTATTTTCATTCTGGATGATCTGTCCATTGGTGTAAGTGAGGTGTTAAAGCCCCCCACTGTCATTGTGTTACTGTCGATTTCCTCTTTAACTGCTGTTAGCAGTTGCCTTATACATCGAGGTGCTCCTTTGTTGGGTGTATATTTATTTATAATTGTTATATCTTCTTCTTGGATTGATCCCTTGATCATTATGTAGTGTCCTTCCTTGTCTCTTGTAACATTCTTTGTTTTAAAGTCTACTTTATCTGATATGAGTATTGCTGCTCCAGCTTTCTTTTGATTTCCATTTGCATGGAATATCTTTTTCCATCCCCTCACTTTCAGTCTGTATGTGTCCCTAGGTCTGAAGTGGGTCTCTTGTAGACAGCACATATATGGGTCTTATTTTTGTATCCATTCAGCAAGCCTGTATCTTTTGGTTGGAGCATTTAATCCATTCACATTTAAGATAATTATCTATATGTATGTTCCTATTACCATTTTCTTAATCGTTTTGGGTTTGGTTTTGTAGGTCCTTTTCTTCTCTTGTGTTTCCCACTTAGAGAAGTTCCTTTAGCATTTGTTATAGGGCTGGTTTGCTGGTGCTGAATTCTCTGCTGAATTCTCTTAGCTTTTGCTTGTCTGTAAAGCTTTTGACTCCTCCATCGAATCTGAATGAGATCCTTGCCGGCTAGAATAATCTTGGTTGTAGGTTCTTCCCTTTCATCACTTTAAGTGTATCATGCCACTCCCTTCTGGTTTGTAGAGTTTCTGCTGAGAAATCAGCTGTTAACCTTATGGGAGTTCCCTTGTATGTTATTTGTCATTTTTCCCTTGCTGCTTTCAGTAATTTTCTTTCTCTTTAATTTTTGCCAGTTTGATTACTGTGTGTTTCGGCATGTTTCTCCTCGGGTTTATCCTGTATGGGACTCACTGTGCTTCCTGGACTTGCGTGGCTATTTCCTTTCCCATGTTAGGGAAGTTTTCGACTAGAAACTCTTCAGATATTTCTCGGGTCCTTTCTCTCTCTCTCTTCTCCTTCTGGGACCCCTATAATGTGAATATAATGCAAATATTGTTGTGTTTAATGTTGTCCCAGAGGCCTCTTAGGCTGTCTTCAGTTCTTTCATTCCTTTTTTCTTTATTTTGTTCTGCGGCAGTGAATTCCACCATTCTGTCTCCCAGGTCACTTATCAGTTCTTCTGCCTCAGTTATTCTGCTATTCATTCCTTCTAGTGTATTTTTCATTTCACTTATTGTATTATTCATCTCTGTTTGTTCTTTAATTCTTCTAGGTCTTTGTTAAACATTTCTTGCATCTTCTCGATCTTTGCCTCCATTCTTTTTCAAGGTCCTGGATCATCTTCACTACCATTATTCTGAATTCTTTTTCTGGAAGTTTGCCTCTCTCCACTTCATTTAGTTGTTTTTCTGGGGTTTTATCTTGTTCCTTCAACTGGTACATAGCCCTCTGACTTTTCATCTTGTCTGTCTTTCTGTGAATGTGGTTTTTGTTTCACAGGCTGCAGGATTGTAGTTCTTCTTGCTTCTCTAACTATCTTTTTAATTAAAGACAATTTATACTTACAAAGTTCTCCAAAAGAACCGCTAATCTGAATTTGGCTAAACTAATTATTTCATTGATGTTTTTTCCCCACATTATATAACAAATATATTTCTTACTTAGTTATTCCTCCTTTGGACTTATTGTGCCACACTGAGTAACAACTACCCTGCTAATATCTGTTGTTGTTAAAAATATACTTAAAATTTTAGAAAGTGATCATTCTTCTATTTCATTAAACACAGTTTTCTGAAAAATCAATATTACATGAACATTTTGCTTCTAATTAAAAAAAATAGTTTTTAGAAGAGATTTCTCTAGAAAAGAGTAGAATTTTGACAGTAAAATAAGTCAGCCAACCCATAAAATTAAGCTAAATTTTTAGACATTTGTATGAGATTTCAATTTCATTTTTCCTCTTTAAACCTAAAGCCAAATGTTTTAGCAGATTTTTAATCCAAAGTACAAGCACTATTGATTTTAAATTCAAGGATGAAAATCTGACTTTATTTAAAATTTAACATTCATCTTAGTCTATATTTAAATTATGTGATTCACTAAGTGTGCACTATAGGTATTCTTTTGTGAATAAATTCCTGGTAAAAGCAGAATGGATTTCCAATAAATATTTCATCACTTTAGAGATTTATTTTAAATGGGAAGTAGATTCAATTTTGGTACGATTATCTATTACTAGCTGGGCAAGGGACAGAATATAGATAAAACTTGGAGAGACTGATAAATTATGATGAATTGTATTTGAATTTGTCATGGTATTGGCAGTTTTCACAAACATGTTCTTTTTCCTTTATGATAAATAAATGCAAATGAAATTATACTCAAGTATCTGAAGATCAATCTATGAATCCAGGAGGTCGCTATTGATTTTCTATTATGAGATTCTTTGACTTATAAGCTATTAAAAGTCTGTAAGAGGGTTTGTTTTTTAAAAATACCTCACTGTCTTCTATCAGGAATATGCCAGATACTCAGAGAAGATAGATATGTGAGATGCCAAGTATCTATTCCGAACTTGGATATCGTTTCAGTTAGCACCATGTATCTTTTTTTTAAAAAAGTGTCTAAGGCTGGAATAGTCATTGGACATTTTCGTGTATGAAGCAGTTTCCTGCAGAGGTATTTGTCATGGTCCTGCCTTTTTTCATATATACTGGGAGACATTAAGTAGGGATAAACTGCTTACCATGGAGTGAAGAACCCAAGCCTGATTCTTTGGCTTTCTGCCAAAGAAAGAAAATGGAGAAAATGATGAATGACAAACACGTTATGGAGGAATTCTCCCCCCCAGAGGCTGACAAGAATTCTAGTTTTTAGGCTTGCTATCACTGCCAAGAAGGATACTCCTTGTATTTGTGCTCCTGATGGAAATATTGCTTCCGCTGAAACAGCACTCCAGTTCCTTGTTGTTGTGTTGGTGCTGTTATCTTATCTTCCTAATAGTGAGTCCTTTATTTCTGATAAAGATATTCGTTTAAATGACTATGGGAGATCAAATTTATACACGGATTTTCGTTGAGACATAGCTTAAAATTACCCTTAATTCAATAAGAAAATGGGTGTTTTATAAAAATTTGATTTGTAAGCTTTTGAAATAATTTAATTATTTTAAGGACTATACATTACATATATTTCTACCCACTTTTTAAAAATTCCTGTATTGCTTTGGCTTGGTGAAACTAGATCTTCATACTAGGAATTTTGTTGGATGAACAGTGCCAGAATCTAAGATGACATATGGCATTTAACAGGAGTGAGTTAGGAATTAAATCCAGGTTTTGTTCTTGAATATAAAGAATCTATTTCCTAAGTGCAAAATAAATGAGAAAATCTAAAATCATTCATTTGACAAAAACTCAGGGTTTCCAGTTAACAGTAAATGCAGTATGATGTACCAATGCAATAATAGTATTTATCTATGTAATATAATCCTGGGTAGTATTAATACGTTTGGTATCAAAAATGAGCAGTGTGATATCTTGCTTTATATGGTACTGGTCAGCTCTGGGTACCACCCTTTTAAAGAAATAAAGACTGTTCAGACCACATGTATAAGAGAATAACCAAGACATTACTTTTTAATTCTCTATTGCATTTACTTTCTTACATTTACAAGTAAGAGGTTGTAAGACACAACTTGAAAGGTCAGCCACGCATCTAAATCTACCAGAACATTAGCACTACATAAAATCAAACTCATTTGATAGTGAGCTATGAATAAGAATCGTTTACTTTTACAGCTCCTAAATTCTGTTTGTTTCACAGGAGTCTGAACTGATAGAACTAAGAGAAACCATTGAAATGCTGAAGGCCCAGAACTCTGCTGCCCAGGCAGCCATTCAGGGAGCGCTCAACGGTCCAGACCACCCTCCCAAAGGTATGTTTAGAAATCTTGCCATTTTTCATCCAATCTGCTAGGAATCTAGTTTTATTCATTAATTAGAGCAAAGCTGCTTTTACTCAGTCGCACTGCCTTTTATAATATATCAACATAAGTTGCTACTAATGCAGTCAGAATCTCAGAATTTAAGAACAGTAGGCTTCAGTATCAAACTGACCTTAAGGAAATTGCTTCTACAGTCCAACACTTTTCTCTCCACTTGATTTGGTGAAGGTGGGTCTGAGGAGGTTGGTTAATGTATTCATATCTGCCTTCAAGCAAAACACACCTGGGAAGGAGTATGGAAATCTAGATCTGTATGTAAAAATACAATAATCAGTGTGGTGAACTAGTGGATACTGGGAGCAACTCGTCCTGGGTGGGGGCAATAAAAAGGTACATTTTCTGTAGAGAACTTAAAAAACAGTAAGAAAATGGACTAAACGTTGGTGTATTTTTTTTTTTAATTTATGCTTACTTGTTTACAATTAATTCTTAATATTTTTCTTGTATTTTACTCTGAAAAATCAGGGATTTTTTTAGTAATTGTGTTTATTTTTACTTTTTGACAGTTTGCTTTATTTATTTATTTATGGCTGTGTTGGGTCTTCGTTTCTGTGCGAGGGCTTTCTCTAGTTGTGGCAAGCGGGGGCCACTCTTCATCGCGGTGCGCGGGCCTGTCACTCTCGCGGCCTCTCTTGTTGCGGAGCACAGGCTCCAGACGCGCAGGCTCAGTAGTTGTGGCTCACGGGCCCAGTTGCTCCGTGGCATGTGGGATCTTCCCAGACCAGGGCTCGAACCCGTGTTCCCTGCATTAGCAGGCAGATTCTCAACCACTGCGCCACCAGGGAAGCCCAACGTTGGTGTATTTTTAATTATTACTGTGCTTCAGCAATTGGAAGCAATGATAAAATAATCTTCTCTGCCACCACCCCACTCCTTAAATTGCCACTGAAGAAATACTGTGTGATAATGTCATGTCATTGTTTTCTTTACATAGGTTGTACTTATTCCTATTCTGACTCTTTGCAGTGGCATTCAATATGCTCAACTCTTGACCAGCTGAAAAATGTTTTCCTAAATCCCGAGTGCTCTGTCATCTCTCTTCGCATTTCCAGATGAATTTTGGGAAAGCTTGATGGAATCATTCAGTGTCTTCAACAGCCAGTTACACTTCAGACCATGGGAGTGTGGTTTCTCTTTCCACTACTCCAACAAAACTGTTCTCTCCAGCATCGATAATGACTTAGATGACTCTAAATCCAGTACAAAATTTAAAATTCTTATTGTATTTGTTGTGCAAATAGCATTTGATGCTGATATCCACTGCATCCTACTTGAAATATTCACTTCTTCTAATGCTCATGACATCCACATTCTTAGTTTTTCTTCTGCTCCTTTGAAATTTCTTTCACAGTTTCTCTTGTAGATTCACTCGTTTGTATGCATTTGTTAAATGTTGATGTTTCTTAGAATGCAGTCCTAAACTGTCTTCCGTTATGATTTTATACATTATGATTCTCTTCATCCTATCTAAAATTTGTACAAGCTCATCTAGTACTCTACCTATAATTATTATTTGTGTTGATAACTGTCAAATATATCTCTCCAGGGCAGTCTCATCTCTTGAGTTACAGATCTGTATATCTAGCTGCCAAAGAGAAAACTCCATTAGGTTATCTTTGGATGTCTGTTTGACACCTGAAAGTCAACATCCCCAAATTTGAACTTGTCTTCTTCCTTCTCAGACCTGCTTTGCCTTCAGTGTTCCTTTCTCAGTAAACAGCATCACCATCCTTCCATGTGGCCAGAAATCCTCCTCTTCGTACACAGTAAATCACTAAGTTCTATTGATTCCATCCATTAAATATATCTTGTTCCCTTTTCTCTGATCCTGCTATCACCATGCCTCATATCTCCCCTGAACTATGGCCCCAAACTCCTAAGTCTCAAGGAGCCCTCCTGCTCTTCATCTTTCACCTCCTTATGCCATTCTTCACACTGAGACCAGAGCAGTTGTGTAACAATATATATTTAAAAGGTATCCCATTGCCTTTGGATGAAATACTAACTCCTTAACATGACATAATCTCTCTTGGCCAGCTTCGTTCATTCAACAAGTATTTATTGATATTACCATTTATGTGCTAGACACTGTTCTAGACCTTGTGTCTTGCTATTTTGCCGTGTTGTGTGTTTCATATTTCAGCTATCCAGAACTCCTTTCAGTTCTTCAAAAGTTCTTTACATATTCTCTTTATTCTACTTGGAACTTTCTACCCTGTTTGTTCAGCATAAAAACTTTTTGAGATCTTGCAAGAGTTAGCCTAAACATGCCTGCTTGTCTGCTAAACTATATGAGGTCCCTCTGTGATGTGTTTCTGGAAATAACTGTACTTCCCTCATCAAAATTTGCATTAAGACACTTTGGTGCCTTAATTGGTTTATGGTCTGCCTTTACTGGTCGATGGCAGGGTGGTCTGTTTTCTTAATCCTTAATCCTGGCCATAATGATGGCTTGCACATAAAAGGGGCTTATTCAAATTTTATAGAAAGGGCTAATACAATTTTTAAAAACTTGAAATTTAACTTATAGGAAAACAGTTATATAAAGTGAGATATACTTAAATTGAAGGACAAACTAGTTCTCTAAGGGCTACTTCTGTTAAGAATTTAGCAACTTTCCATGTGGGGGAGTTCATGTATATGCTGCATGGAAAATTACTGCATATTTAAAGCTTATCTTAGAGCTATAATAAAGCAGCTTATGTTCTAAATCTTCATGTCAGTAAATAGGTCCAGAAGGGATTTTAAAAGGCTTAATCCTTTCTTTACCACAGTACAAGTCACTGAAGTAAAACTTTCTGGAAAGATTCCTTTTATCTCAGGCAACAGGTAGCTTAATATATCTACTGGAATTGAAAAATAGGAGTTCCTTTGCTCAGAAATGTGGGAGGGATACCTAAAATGAACAAAACGATAACAGTTAATATTCAACTTGGCTAAGAAAGATTAAAAAATAATTTTATAAGATTTAAAGCTAACAAAAACAAATAGTTATAAAGGGTTGAATGTATATAGAATATTCAGATTGTGTTTCTGTAGTAGTAAAACTCATATCAAGGCATATTGTAAATATTTAGAGAAGAGCATTCCAGGAGGGTCTTGAGACAGAAAAGAGATTAGTGCCTTTATGGAACTGATACAAGGAAGATAATGACCAAAGGTAAAGTAAGTAGAACCAGGTTGGAGAGATAAGTACTGATCAGATTACTGAGGAACATTTGGGCCATATTTAAGAGTTGAGGGCTTCCCTGGTGGCACAGTGGTTGAGAGTCCGCCTGCCGATGCAGGGGACAAGGGTTCATGCCCCGGTCCGGGAAGATCACACATGCCGTGGAGCGGCTGGGCCTGTGAGCCATGGCCGCTGAGCCTGGGCAAGAGTTGAAATGTTTTCTATTCTTATTAAAATGGAAATCATTGGGAAGTCTCAGGTAAGGGAGTGATGGTGAGGTTTTTCTTTAAAAAGATTTCTCTAACTCTGGTTTGTAGAATGGTTTGAAGGTGAGCTGGACAGCTGTTCTTTCTTAGAGCAGGTAGGTGATGTTGGTGGCTTGAACTAGAACAGTGACGGTGCAGAAGGTGGGAAGTGGAAAATGAATGAATGAATAAACATATAACTGAAAGAGATATTTTTAAAATAAGCTTCTCCATTCATTCAGATTGTTGATATTCATTTGGTCACCCATTCTTTACTGAGCTCTGCAATACCACATGTACTCAATCAAATACTTACAAACACTAGAAAAGAATTGCCAGAGAAAAGTAAAATGCATTCCCTTCATTCCATGGTATTATGGAAATTATGCCCTTGCCAATCTTTACTGGAAATGCGGTCATAATTGAACATAACTAATACCTCCAAGGACTGCTTTTGACCTACGGTTAACAAGAACTTACCTATCTTTTTAAAATTTGGGATTACTTGAAGTCAAATATAATTTATTAATTCTGGATATAATAAAAACTCTGGAATACTTTAACGCTTAACACATCTGTTTTATTTGTAAAAGTCAGTTATGAAGGGAAAAAATAGAAAATACTAATCTTGTTCAGAAAAGCTTATAGCCAACTGTAGCAGAAATTTAAAACACAGATACCTACACATGTTCTTTTATTGCTTATTCATATAATTTCCATATTAGTTGATTAAGGGATACTGTGCTCCTTTATTGTTGAATCAAGACAACACACATAAATACCTTGATTTAGGTTTTGGTACTGGTAATGTTTTGGGCATGCAAAAACAGTAAATGTTCTCATCATTAAAAAAAAAATACTTTTGGACCAAACTCTAGGGATTCTTAAAAACAGCTCTGTTTTTACCCTCCTATAAAATTTTTCAGCATGGTTATTCTCTTAATGGAAAAATTAAAGTACTTATTGGTATGTATGTACATGAGATTAAGGATGGAGATATGTATATGCATATTATACACCCACACATATACTTATTTATTGTATGTTTTGAAAGTAACCAGTTACAGTTCCATTGCCATCAGCCATTTTACTGTTAAATTAGTCAACTGCAAAGCTTTGATTATATACTATTATTTCTATTGGAACTTTTTGAGAGCTATATAATAATTTCTGACATCTTTTAAATTCCACTGAGATTTTTTTGCTTGGATAATATGCTTTGATACCAATTATATATGACAATAGAAATGGCCTAAAAGCATATTTGACCTTAAAATAATTTTATGAATTATTAGTGTCTCCACTAACACTTAAGTTCACTGTGAGTAGAAATCATTTCAATTTTAATTTTAATGACTATAAATAAATCTTATAAGCTGATTGTATGGAGTAAGTGAGTATGTTCAAAAAGTGATTTAGTATCAAATGGTATCCTCTTCAAAATATCTTATTATCTAGAGAAGCACTCCGTGCTTTTTAGGAGTATATAGAGGTGATATCACCTGGCAATTAGTACAATAGACAGTAGGATACTCCTAAGTCTCAAGTTGGCTCCACTGTTTTTCAGCTACGTGACCACAGGGAAAATTTAATAATTACACTCATTTCAGTGGTTTGCTTTAAAATTAGATACTCCCAGGGCTTCCCTGGTGGCGCAGTGCTTGAGAGTCCGCCTGCCGATGCAGGGGGCGCGGGTTCGTGCCCCGTTTCGGGAGGATCCCGCGTGCCGCGGAGCGGCTGGGCCCGTGAGCCGTGGCCGCTGAGCCTGCGCGTCCGGAGCCTGTGCTCCGCAAATGGGAGAGGCCACAACAGTGAGAGGCCCGCATAACGCAAGGAAAAAAAAAAAAAAAAAAAAAAAAAAAATTAGATACTCCCAGAGCAGAGTAGTAAAAGCTAGCTTTATTATTACCTGTTATTATTGTTACTACTATTACTCTTCCAAGTCATGGACAGGGGTTATGGGTATGATGGAAGAATTACACTGTCTTAAGCATGATTTCTGTTTAATTCACAAATGCAGTCTACCCACATTCTCTCTTGAGGACCTTTGCCCCATTGGCTCTTTGACCTTGGTCAAGTTACTTAACTTCTTTGCACTTCAATTGCTCCATCTGTGGTATGAAGTGCTTAGATGACTTGCAAGGTTTGTTTTGGCTCTAACAAGGTATGATTCCATGAAATGGAAAGTTAATATATTTGGCTTCGGTAGCTTTATTCAAAGGACAAATATTAAAAACACACAATTAATTATCATGCTATTAAGAGTTTCCTTTTACTCCATGGAACAAATCATTTGGAATAAATCATTTTGGAAGTGCTCTTTGATCCAGGTATTCAGTAAAAGTCACTAGCATAGCAGTTCATTTTGGGACAAAACTCAGAATTCATTAAAATACCAGTGCTACAGACTTACTTGAGATTCCCATTGAATCTTAATACAGATAACCCAGTTAATTAAAGCAAATATGGTTGTACTTTATTAAGCTTATAAAACCAAAACTGCATTGAAATCATCTGTACAAAGCCATGTTGACATTTATTAGAGAGCTTCCTCTCAGAAAGCCTAAAAGTCTTGTTTGTTCAGATTGCAAGTTTTTATGAGTAAACATGATACTGTCTATCTGTGGCTAGATCTCCGCATCAGAAGACAACATTCCTCCGAAAGTGTTTCTAGTATCAACAGTGCCACGAGCCATTCCAGCATTGGCAGTGGTAACGATGCTGACTCCAAGAAGAAGAAAAAGAAAAACTGGGTAAGCCATTAGCATTCATCTAATTCAGAAGCTTATTACTGCACAGTGAGTCAGGCTTTTTCCTTTTGGGCTTTAGAGATCCACAGCAGTTTACAGTGTCTCATTCAAGTGACTGACACCTCAAAGGCTACACTCATCACCAAGATTAGGGCAGCATGGTGCTGAAGAGCAAATGTTTTGGAGTTGGCACTAACTAAACTTGGATTTGAATCCCAACTTTGACACTTACTATTTGGATCTTAGGCAAGTGACTTCACCTTTTTGGGGAGCCTAAATTTTCTCATCTGGAAACATTGGATAATTAATACTGACTTTATAGAGATACTGTAAGAAAAATAGGGTAACGTGTAAATAAATGGCTCCGAGCAGGGGCTTACTGTGGAGGTAGAGATGAAGAAGAAGAAAAAGATGATGGTGATGCTGATGGTGATGCTGATGGTGATGCTGATGGTGGTGATGGTGGTGGTGCTGGTGGATGGAGGAAGTGGAGAAAAAATGGAATAAAAAAAGTAAAAGGGAAAGAAGAGACCTTGAAAGCCTCTCCACCCCTTGCATCAACAGGGTTTATAGCGTGAATAAAGTGTCACTGTATAAGAAGTCAACTATATGTATTTTTACCAAAAGAACATAGGATAAATATAGAAATGTACTTTAACAGAACTGTCCCTTAAGTTTGCTAGAGATAGAATTTATGATATTAAGTAATTGCTGAAAAAACTGAGGGGAAGATGCTATCACTGCAAAATGTTTAAAAACAATGAAGTAAAGGATTTCTTTTAATGCCATGCAAGAAAAGTAGATGTTAAATAAGTAGAACTCTTGATGAAATCCAAAATATAACTAGCAGAGGATTTTACTGAGTGCTTTCTGTAAATAATGAGAGAAATATCTTTTCTGTTTTAAAAAAATGTTTATGCAGGTAATATTTTAAAATACTGATCAGCCTTCATTCCCTTGATTTGTAATTCCACACTCTT